TTCTGAAATTAAAAATCCCAAATTAGCGTATGAAATGTAAAAATCCTAGACTCGCCGCTCTTCTCCAAATGCAACGCGAGACACCGCAGCTCTCCTCGGAAGCCCACACCGGTCTCCATCTTGACGAGCCCTGTTTGAGAATGACCGCGATTGGCCTCACTATCAGAGTGGATTTGTGAAGGGAGAAATTGCAACGATGTTGGTGGTTGATCGCTAGTCTCCAGTCATGTAATCGCTGAGGGGAGAATCGAGAATCCAGCGTTGCGCAATTCTTCAAGGCAGTTGGACTGTCACTTGTCAGTTTCAGGAAGCTCTGGGGGAGGGTCACTTGTCACCATGATCGTCTCGGGAAGGAGGAGACGAACACCCACTACCAGCTTCGGAAAAGAAAATTGAAGATGGATTGGGGAAATCATCGACATGGGCACTTCGTTGGTTGCAATCATATTACTAGGAGCCTAAAAAAATGATATTCAGAGCGGTCAACCCACCAAACTTCATAAGGAAACAAGGGACAGATTAAAATCATTAAATGAATTCGCTTATTCTTTGAAAGAAAAACAGATTGCCAGATATCTTTCACTCTAGATGTGTATTCTGTCTTGTCTATTTCTCCGACCCTCACTGTCGACCACCATCATCGGAAAGTCATCGTCGCAAGGTTGTGCTCCGGCACGCCTCTGTTGCTATGTTTGTCTATGAAACATATGTCGTCACCGGAGCGTCTCTTTCTTCGCCATAGCAACTGTGGCCGCCTTCACAGCGTTCGTCGACAGAGGAGACCGCTCCAAAATAGCGAGAGATTTTTTTTTTTTTTTTTTTTTGCTTTGTTTCTGCTCAGTCCACAATTAGAGTCATGTGCTCACTTTCAACGTGTCTACTTTGCGTGTGAATATATCCATAAACATATATGTTTTTGTTTGTGTTGCCGTGTTGTCAACTGTGGATGTATATAATTACTATTCTATCCCTGCTTTTGACGGATTGGAGCAAAGTAACGGGAGGACAAACGCTGGTCAAATTTTAAAATTCGGAGGACTACAGATGTTGTTATGAAAGTTTAGGACTATATGTGGCTAAACCACCAAATTTGAGGGACCATAGCTGGTATTTACTCTAATAATAATGATGATGATGGATTATATTGATCTGGGTGGTCCGACTCAAACAACCCAATAATAAATAAATGGATCACGATAGAGGTAACGTAATGGAAAGACAATGAATTGTAAATCACGGAGACAATGTTGTATTAAGACCTATGTCGAGCTATTACAAAGATAAGAATTGCATGCCTTAACAAGACAAAGTGAAAACATTTTATACCGAGCGACTTCCAACCACCCCGCGAGAAATGGGCGGGAGGTTATAACTGCGATGGACTGCATCCCGCGCCATACGTATCACACCAGTCGAAGACCTGGCCCTTGACCGAGCACGGGGCTTGGCCACACCCAGGTCCAGAGCCTCGGAGATAATTAGATCCGATTTTATTCGAGTTAATCTGCACCGGATCGATTTATAATATATCTATCAAATAATAACAATAATTTAAAAGAAGTAGCATAACTGATTTTGTAATATGCAAGTTCCAATATCTCACATGGTGAGTGGAGTTTGGTCGATAAAACAGTGCACATACATGCTATTCTTCATTTCAGCACATGTGCTTCCCCTTTAGTGGTCGGCTCGTCAGCGAAATGGCAAACCTCCGGACGACAATCGACGCCGCATTCTGGGACCTCAACGTCTCCACTTCCAGAACCCTAGACGACATGGTCTGCTCAATTCCCGGCGACCCCATTCTCATGGACGACGGTGCTCGAGCCAGCCGAGTCCTCAAAATCCGGCCAGCAGCTCTCTCTCCTCAGAAATGGCATGAGCGATTCATAGACCGCAAAGGAAGATATTGGGATATTCCAGAGTCAATATCCTTGGACTGCTCCTCACTTGATGATTTAACTTGATGAAAATATCCATTTGGTATCCATAAAAATAGTGGCCAGCCTATTGCAGTTGATATCCTAGGCACCTAGCTTGAGACACCCTTGCCACCATCATCACCAAATCCCCATCACTAACGTAACGCCAAGACCACTCAACTTCTCAGCATTTCTAATATCCTTCCCATTATATAGCAGCTGCTATTGCTGAAGCCGCACCTGCGTATGCTCATCCATAGATAAATTTAAACACTCATAACCATAATTCAATAATCAATTATAAAATTTTAAAAATAAAAACATCATTTTTAATCGAACCTCAATTTCCAGTAATGCTTTCAAGTTCTCGACCTGATAGAATGGCAAAACAGAAAATATTGGGTTCAGTAGGCAAATAATTTAAAAGGAAAATTCAATTCTTCCTCAGAATCAGAAGAAGTATCTTCATCGGATGAAGAGGAACATCTTTCCACCACTTCTTCTGAATCTTGCCATCAGACTTTTTCTTCTCTATAACTTGTTTTAAGGAAGAATCCTTTTTTGTTTTTGTTTTTGTTTTTTTTTTGTTTTTTTGTTTTTGTTTTTTTTTTTTGTTTTTTTTTTTTTTTTTTTGCGCTGACCGCTTCTCTCTTAACTACAAAGTCACTAAAGAACAATGAACTCGTTTTCCAATAACAGATTTTAAAACCAAAACAATAATTAAAAACTGTGGAAGATGAATTATAGACAAAAATAATACGAAAAAAATACTTTTCTAAAAAAATTTAACCTTTCTGCATCGACTTAGTAGGAGCAACTATAGCTGGCCTGGGGTGGCACTGACATCAACCCAGACAAATCCATAATAAAGAATGTAAATTGAAAAAATAATAACTATTGCACAAAGATAGAAATAGCTAGAAGAGAAATTTTACCTTTAACATTTGATTTCTTAGAAGAATTGCCCATTGTAATGGAAGATAATAACGCGGGGAGAGAAGTATATGGAAAACCGTAAAGATAAATTAGGGTTTAGGCAAGGGGAGTACACTGTTATATTAGTACTATTGGTGTAAATAATCTAGAATTGTATTAGGAATATGGAAGTAGAAAAGAATATATTGTACTAGGAATAGATTGTCATATTTTAATATACAATTGTAGTAGGAATAGTAATTATATTACCATATATTTTAATATACAATTGTAGTACGAATAGGAATTGTATTAGCATATTTTACAATATTACGCAAACCTTGATAGTATAAGAGTCTTATGGGTAGGAAGTTAAAATGAAGGATTTTGTTTTTGTATATAGATATAGATATAGATATAGATATAGATCAGATGATGATGGTGGTGGTGGTGGTGATTATTGTTATTATTATTATTATTATTATTATTATTATTATTATTATTATTATTATTATTATTATTATTATTATATGTTTTTTTATCTAATTTTACAAAACATTTTTTTACAAACCACTAATGCAATCTGCTGGTCAAACCTGCTAACACAATTCGCTACCTGTTAACTGCTAGCCGCGGATTACCAAACAAAGCCGAAGTGTATAAATAGGAAAAGGAATCCATCTTTATGCAAATAAATAAACTAAGTAATTCATATTTCCGCAAATAAATTGAAAAATGAATCTTCAAAAATTACTATTACGCAAAATCAGTATATTTGCCTGTGTAGAATTCAAATTACTATTATTATTATTATTATTATTATTATTATTATTATTATTATTATTATTATTATTATTATCATTATTATCATTATTATTATTATTATTATTATTATTATTATTATTGTTATTATTATTATTATTATTATTATTGTTATTATTATTATTATTATTATTATTTGTGTAAATAATAATTAATAAATTATTATTTTCTTATAAAATTAGACCGAATTTCAAATGAATTTTTTCATTTATTACGCAAAATTTGTTTCAATTATTCTCAGAATTATAATGATTTAATTATTCTTAAAATTTGGTAACCATTTTCCATTTTAATTATATATTGACTTTAATTTGTGGTAACAGTTCAGTAGATATTAATTAATTTTCATATAAAATTTTGTTACTAATTAAGCTTTAATAATTTTCTTTTTACCAATTAATTAATATTCATATTAGTTTGAACGGGAAAGTTGAAGATGATGATTTTACTTTTATTAACAATATAGATATAGATTATTATTATTAAGATTAGTAATTTTAATCTAGAATTGTATTAGAAATAAGAAAGTAGGAAAGAATATATTATATTAACAATTGTATTACCATATTTTAATGCACAGTTGTAGTACGAATATGAATTGTATTACCATATTTTTAACGAATATGAATTGTATTATCATATTTTTACAATATTCCGCAAACCTTAATAGTATAGGAGTCTTTTGGGCGGGAAGTTAAATTGAAGATTTTGTTTTTATATATAGTATAGATAGATAGATATAGATTACTAGACATTTTTATGTGTAGTGTGTGAAGATATGGTCTCAATATAAAAATATTTAAATTTTAAATATAAATATAAATATTTATTAATAAAAATATTATTTTAACCCATCAAATTTATAATTTATAATTTATATATTTTGGAGAAAAAAAAAAGAAGATATACAATTTGGTAGATATCATAAATTAATTATTTTATTTATAATGAAAAGTGAAAGTAATTCAATATTTGAGATAAAATTAATATAATGATTAGTTAAATTGTCACAATATTTGTTTTAATTGTCTTAATAGAATATTTAATAATAAATTTTAACAGGATATCAATAAAATCATAATTAAAGTAAGAATTCGATATACGTAGGTCCACAACTATCATAAATTAATTATTATTATTATGTTATGCATTCTCATTTTTTTTTTCAATTTATCCCATCAAATTTGTACATTCTAGTTTCTATGCATTCAATTAACCGAATCCGATATCCATGCCTTTCCATCTAAAGATGTGATTTTTCTTCTCTTTTTATTTATTTATTTATTTATTATTTTTTTTATTTGTTATAACCACCCTAAGCTACATAAAGGGCATGCTCACCCTCCCTCTCTATTTCGCACTCTCTTCCTCACACAATCTGCTGAACATCATGTCATGGGCGTCGTCGTGTCGCATCCCATCGCCTTCCGAGACTTGTGAAGAATTGAAGAAAACTATCGATAAGTTGGGTGATATTGCTGCACAATTGAAAGCCGTTAGAGTCGATATGGAAAAGAATATAAAAAATTTTGCGTATAACAGAGGAAAAAGCCGTTTTCGAAAGGAAAAAAAACAGAGGAATAAGCCGAGATCGACAAGGAATACTGGAGCAGAGACTCCTCGAATTTCAGATGTCGTCGTCAGAGTTCCAACAAAAAAACAGATACCTTATAAATGAATTGTTTTCTGTGTAAGGATTTCATGCATTTTTTATTTTACTGCCCGGCTTGTCCTGGCATTTTACTGCAAGGATTTCATCATTTATTTGTTTAATAAATAAGAGAATTTTAATCCCTAACTATTGATGTCTGTTGGAGGGGGAGAAACATAGGGGAAAGGCAGGGGAGGAGGGAGCTACGGCGGTGGAAGGTGGTGGAGATCGGCGAGGATGGGTTCGAGGGGGTGATGGGTTGGCTAATGTTGGGCTTGGTCAGGGAACTCGGCCGGCTTTTAGTGGGCCTAGTGGGCAAGAGGAATTTGGGCCTAATACACTTAGGGGCGTTTGGTTCAGGTTAGGTTATCAAGCAATATAAGATTCTCATGTTTGATTAAAGTTATGTAATTTTTTTAAGAAATGTCAATAATCTCCCTTTTAAATATTCTTAGCTATTGGAAGGAAATGTGAGATACTCTCCAATTTCTTAGGTAATCTCACATTCTTTTGTCTTATTAATAAATGTTGGGCTTTGTATTTTTTAATCAATTTATCTTATTATTATTATCTTATTTACATATCTTAGTTTTAAAACAAACATAAGAATCTAACATTTTCAGCAATTTAATATTTCTAAGTATTTCCAGCAATCTAATATTTCTATGTAACATAACTTTCCGTGAACCAAACTTCCCCTGATTAAAATGGGATTTTATTTCTGATGCTACTACCGCGTTGTTAAAAGGAATATGAATATAATTACATAAGGAATGAAATAGAGAGTGAATAAAATAGAAATATTATTTTATTATTCGGCGATGAACAAAGAGATGGATGGTGGCGGGGTACCGTCTGCCGATGCCTTACTATTGATCTTCGCCTCAAGCAGTTGTGATGGGAAAAGGGTAAAGCAACTAAATCCTCTCCCAAGTTTTTTTAAAACCATTTCAACCCACTCAGAACAAGGGTAAGGCTTTTCCCCGCAGAATGCATGATACTGAAGCTCATTATATGTGGCCAATTTGAAAACCTGGGAAATCCTCTCATTGAGCATGGAATTATGTGGAGATGCATTATTGATAGATGAGCTGGAGTTTCAGTGGATATACTTTTCAGCGTTCTTTTCTTATGATAAAAATTGTTGGCTGGTCAACAGCTAAATGGCTACCTCGTCTGAAAGATGGATAGATCGTCTCTAGTTCTAGTTGCTATTTGCTTCAACGGAAGGCTCAAACTACTGCATATGTCAAATATTTTGGTCAGTTTACATCAGAGTAGTTTCCTGTAGATATAGCCGATCGAGCTGATCCGGAACCACTATTCATCTAAGGATAAGCCAACCTGTGGTGTTGGAGGACGCTCTTCGTACTGATAAACAAATCCAATTTGCGAGAATTTTCTGTGTCGAGCAGCCACTCAAATGAGCAGCAACTAATAAATTTAATTGTTCATGATCAACAAGTGTAGCAAATTTGTGTGCTAACAAGTAGTTGAGTTCAGTGTTTAATGATTTCCTCATCCCAGCTATTGTCATCAGAATTATATTTTTCAAGCATTTTCTAATAGAGGGTAAGGGAAAGAAGACACCAATGGATTGATCTATTGCTATTCATGATAGGCTTTAATCTATTGGCTATGGCTTTGGTAAGAATCTTATAAGCCACATTGCAGAGAGCAATGGGTCTCAGATCAGCCAATTTCTTGGGGATTAGGACAATATGAGTCTGATTCAAGTTAGTGGGGAGATGACCATTACACATAGAGACAATACCATTACCAACAATATAATATCCCAGTATGTATGAAAGAAACCGGGGTTCAAGCCATTAATACCTGGGCTCTTATCTGGGTGCATTCCGAAAGCCGCTGATCTAACTTTCTCGGCCGTGAATTTTCTCATGAGAGCATTGTTCTGGAAATCTGAAACGATTAGTTGAATGCACTGTAGAATCAAGTATTGGTCCCCCGCTGAACTGTCAAAAAGGTTAAAAAGATTGGTGAAGTAGTCCTTTAAGATGATTCATCTCCGGTCCTTGCATAGCGTACCCAGTCTCCAATAGAATTGCGAAGCCTGGTAATGGTGTTATTCCTTCGCCTTTGAGTAACCATGTTGTGAAAATATTTGGAAACATCACCACCTCTGTACCAAAAAAGTTTTGCCCTTTGTTTCCAGAAGGAATTCTATTGATCAAGTAAGTGGAGGAAATCTTTCTAGGCACAAGAGAAATCTGTAAGCCCTTTGGCATCCACTCTGGAGCGGAGAGGAGAGCTTCCATGCGAAATCTGGCTGGCCTGCTCAATTTGATGATTAAGATTCCCAAGACCATTCTTCCCCCACTTCCATATTGCAAGACTACATAATTCAAATCTGGAAGCAAGATTGTACCCTTCTGAACTCTTCCAACTGCGGTCAACTATCACTCTGCACGCTTCGTCCTTGAGCCAAAAATTTTCAAACCGGAACCTTTTCCTTCTCCTTACTCGAACTTAAAGGAGCTTCAAATGACACGGCTCTCGCATCCCCAAAGATTTCCAGCCAATCATTATTAACAAGTATTCGATCAAGCTTCTCTCTAACCCAGTTAGGGCCACCTCTGCCTCTTTCCCATGTGAATTGATACCCCTGGAAATCCAAATTCCTGAGACCGCTATATTCAACTACTTCACTGAATCCTTGAATAAGCCCCTGGGGTTGGGGATTAGGGCCTATCTTTCTCTCTCTGGTTCAAGATATCGTTGAAATCACCTGAGACAGCCCAAAGAAGGTTGCAAAGTGTTGGAAAAAATAGCTTAAAATGGCATGTTAAGTGGCTATTTTGTGGTACAATTATAAGTGGGGTCCACCTTCGATTTGGGTCGGGTCAAAGGGGATTCGGGTTCTTCGTAGTGAGACGAAGAGATTGATATATTGTACGCTCAACACGGATAATGGGTGAATGAGATATTGATTCTCAAAGTAGACCCATTTGAGTTGGAAGATGAAGGGAAAAAGTGAGCTTTTGTCCCACATTGGTTTGGAAAGAGGATTTGACCCCCCTTTTATACAAGAGCTCTTTTGGAGCTTGTAGAATTGTATAGCGTAGAGGCTCTCTTGCACGCGGGGGGGGGGGGGGGGGTGCAAATCAAATTCCAACTAGAAACGAGATCGAAAAGGCTTGATTCTCGCCCGGACGAAACAGCCGAAAAAACTTCACTAACTAAGACTAAGTGGAAAGTTTCGAACTGGAGCGGCTGAACATGGCCGAAACAGCCGAAACTTCACTATGTGTGGTCGAATCTTCCAGTTTAGGCTTGCACGAATCTGTCCTATTTTGTGACCGTTGGGTGTTCAATTCTGTTGTTACGGAATTAATTCTTTGAGTTAATTCTAATTTTTAATTTGGAATTGAAACCCATGTTGATGGTTGCTATTACAGGAAGGTGGAGGGGTGCCCTTAAGTGCCTAATTAAAAGCTATTCAAATCATCCACCCCTATATAAGAGAGGGAAGATGCAGTAAAGATTTACACAGAAAAACTGAACAAGATAGTTCATCTTTTTAGCCTCAAAATTCTCTACTTCTACTCTTTCTTTAGCCATACTGTGTTCATAACCTTGCTTTGTTCACCGGATTCCTTGTTTGAGTGCTCAAACATTGAATCATAAGCTAGTTTTATCCTGGGAAGCTTAGGCCACACCGCTCCTAGCACTTTTGGGAGGTGGCAAATAAGGTTTTAAGGAAAGAGTAATCGCTTGAATCTTGCAAAAACCCAACACCAAACAGTAGCCAAATTCTCCATCTTTCCTTCCCTTATATTTCCAGAAAATAATAATCTTTTTATTGGATTATTATTTGTTTTTTCTACCAACGGATCCAACAGTCTTAAAACCTTATTCCTTGTTTTCCCGTTGGTTGTTTCTCCTAATTTCCTTGAAGAAATGGAGAACCCCATTTTGCCTGTCGTTAACAATGAGGAGGATAATGTTGTTGCAGACAACAATGGAGGAAACGAATAGTAAACGGATTAGTCGGATAAGATAGATAGATAGAGCAAATTATGTAAGTGCGGTATGTAAATGAGAGAGGCAATTTATAGTGGTTCAGAAGTGGCGTAATCTTCCTAGTCCACTTTTCTCCTTTCGCGTCTAGGAGAAATTCACTATTTTCCACACACAGTTACAATAGTGAATAAGCGCTACACAAGCACTTCTTTCGGATGTCTTGCACACAGCTACACCCAACTCCGAGTATTTCGCACACAGCTATACTCAACTTCGAGTATTTCGCACACAGCTATACTCAACGCCAACTAAGTGTCTTGCACACAGCTACACTTAGCAACTACGAGTGTTTTGCACACAGCTACACTCACAAGAGTATTTTGCACACAGCTATACTCTTTCTACAATTACAAATACAAAGGTAATTGTATCTCTCTCCAACTAGATTTGAGACTATTCAGACTAAGTCTCTAAGAATATTTGAGCACTTGCACTTTTGAATTTTGCACTTCTCTTTTGTTCACGTCTATCTTGTTCACCTCTGCTTGTATCTTCAAGTCTTCATGGCTTTTTATAGGCAATCAAATATATCCGTTGGAGTGGGATAATTTGATATTTGAATTTTGAATCTTCATAGCCTGATATTGTTGAGAATAGTAGGTCTTCAATTTTGATTTGATTGTCAACTTGCCTGACAAAATAATATTTTATCTCCACTTGATTTTCTAGTTGTTTCTTTAAAAATATTATTTTGTTGTCATATTGAATATCCAACGTATCTTTGAAATAAATTCATCTGATAGAATTTATTTCTAGGATAAGTTTTTATATTCATATCTTCATCAGTATTTTTCCGTTCTGATCAAAAAACTTCAGGCAATTTTGGATTCTTGTGGCATGTGGGTAGACTTAGAATAAATTCCTTCGAATTTATCCAATTTCTGATCATCTTGCTTCTTTGCCACATTGTGCTCCTTTGACTTGAACATTGAGCTCCTTTTGAACATTGTGCTCCTTAGC